CTGTCAGAGCCAGTTTGATGCAAAAAATGTATTGCTTGATCACTGGAGTGACTGCTATTTATTAAGCACACTAAGGATATTCTTACACAATAAATTTTCTGGTTTTTGAGAATAACTACTACAGCAGTTGTTCCTGCCATCTCATCCTTCATCTGTTCATCTGAAATCAAAACAAAATAAAACCAATGGTGAACATTATATACATGATAACCTAAGATAGGAAAATCAAATTATACAGGAAATAAAAATAGGCGATGGCCTGGGTGTACCACTTCAGCTGTTTACCAAAGGAAGCAAAGCCACTGTGTTCTTCAGCAGCAGTTACTAATATTGACATTAACTTGCTTAATTTTGGACTAGATTTACAGTAAAAGACAAAGGCCCTCCTTTGTACTGTTATGATGATTTTGCTTTTCTGAGACTTGCAGTTTTTTGACATTAGTGTATATTCCCTCTCATCATGCTCAAGTTGACAGCACACCATGTAGTAAGAGTGATACAACTGAAGACGTGCCAATCCTTCAATAGCAAAACCTACCCATTATTTGATATGTTAAGTATCTCATTTAGGATTAAAAACAATGATACAAAAATAAATTTTTCACACTTTATGAACACCAAACAACCAGAAATTCTTTAATAACTCAATTCCTTATTGTCTGCACATCTCACTGTATTCTATTAACTTAGAGAGATATCAGATCAGCCATGTTGATATCCCAAAACAATAAAACGGCAGCCATGCTGGAGTCTCAATTCAGTCCTGGGGGAGTTGAAGCTTTTTCTTATGTGAAAACGTTCTTTTGTTTCAATAAAGTTGCATAACTGCTGGCCACGTGAGTGGAAATGCTCTATAGACAGGGTGACAACAATATTTTAGACAAAGTCAACACTTCTGAGCATACCTTTCTGCATGTCTGTGTCACATGACAAGAAGCCACCTTTTATGGCTTCATGTATGCTACCTTTTCCTGTGAATAGGAATGAAAAGCAATACTATTGATTTATCAAAAAATATATACAGTGTCTCAGATTCTAGGGACAGGACTATGAGAGAGTTGACAACACACCACTTTGTGAAAGGATCGAATGTTACAAGAGAGTCCCACTACAAAATAGCAATGATTGAAATACTTTAGTCATGAATGGAACATTTTAATCACAAAGCTTTATCTACAATAACAAAATGTTTCAACATCATCAAAAATTGAAAGTAGCTCTTAGCAAAATAACCTGACCAACAGAAGAAAAAACCTTGAAAGAATCGATTGTATTTTTTTAAAGTTGTCTAACTATATCACTGTCTTAATTGTAATTATTTGAAGAAAAATGTATACACCATATGCTGGTATAGTTTCAACTGGTAAAAAATTGATGCAATTAAGTTACTTTGACTGAAATACATACATGTACATTAACCTTGATTTAAAAAACAAATTTACAATGTTATTATTGTAGCCTTCCTTACCCCAAGCTGAGTGATTAACAATCTTTGCGTGAATGCATCTGCCACAATACTGTGCTACTCTGGCCCCTAACAATTCAATCACAAATCAAGCCATTACTACACATACCAGATAAAGCCATGACACTTAAATAATAGCATGTTAAACTGGTAATTTTTACTTCATTTTTCATTTGGTGCCTGAGATAATGTCAAGAGGCAAATTGTGCAAATTTCTCCCTGCATTAGCACCATTTTCGGCCAATAATTGGGTACTATTGGAGCCAATCAAAACACACATTTTATTGAATTGGTTCTAAGAAGCAAATTCAAGCTCTTTGGTGTGTAGTTTGGAGTTGTTAAAAATCTGATGAAATCTCATAAACTCTAAGTTGAACTGCCTAAACTGAAATGGCTGAATAACAGCGGATGGGCTAGGGGGGAGCACGTTTCTGACTGCTTATGTGCACAATAACAGATAAACTTGTGTGCCCCACTGATGTACGGGGAAAAAGAATGATTTCCTTGCATTCCTGGCATTCCTGGCACTTTGAAAATTTCCGTGACAACAATCTTGGGGGTCCACAATAGGGTTGGTGGGAGTGGGATTTGGCTCTATTTCATGGTGATGCTTGGGATATGGGCTAAAAACAGGAGCCGAAAGTAGGAATTTCAATAATGACCAGGAGCAGGATTTTCTGTTTTTGGGGGGTTAGAATGCGAGAATTGTAATGTAAAATTAGCAGGATACAGGAATTTTTGCTGTGACTGCATTTAGAGAAAGCCAAAGATAGGCCTACATGGCCTACCTATCGGTGGTTTCTGTGATGGCGTTACATTCACTGTTATCAAAGCCAGTCAAATCGAATTTTTGCTCTTACAAGCAAGTCCTTTAATAGAGATGTACCTCAGAAATTTAGTGATCATTATCTTGAAGATATGATCAGTCACTAGTGACAATGTTGAGAGCCTCAAACATCAAAGCATAGCGTAACATGCATAAGGTTAGTCTTATTAAACAAATAAACTTTTGACAACATTTGGGCAGGAATGGGATTTAGTAGTAAAGAAGGGCAGGATAGTGGTATTAACAAGAAAAAATAGACAGGAAGACAGGATTTGAGAATCCCTGTAGTTGACTTTAAGTCTTGATCTATGACAAACCTCCATGCCCATCATAGACTCCAAAGAAAGCAGTGCCTTTGTCTTCCTTGAGAGACAAAATCTCTGTGTGTGAATCTTCCATGTCTGATCAAGAGAATTAAGGATTTACTCATATAAGGACATCTTACTTATCATGATATGTGCATGCATCTAAAAACCCTAGGGGAATACTCCTGGGAATTCTTGGTGGGGGTGTGCTGCCCGGTTCATCAAATCCAGACCCTATGTCAGACCAAAAGATGTCATTTTCCACATCCATTTTCTGACCAGACCTCTAAAATCCAGACCTGTTTTCAGACCTGGCCTTTAGAAAGAAATTGTCATCATTACTTACATGTAGATTAAGAGTGCAAACAAAAATATTCTTCAAAGGCGTTTTGAAATTGCACATTTCTGTTTCATTTTTATTTATTGGGAATTGAAACCATAAATACGTTCATACATTCCTGTAGTTCCCTTGAAAACCATATCTGATTCCAGACCAACATATTCAAAGTCTGTACCTGTTTCAGACAAAAACGGCGCAAAAACCCTACCCGATGGGGCGGCACATACCTATATAGCTTATGTAAGGAAGTACCCCCCCCCTTCTGCGGGCTAAAAGCTATTGAGAGAATTATTTTGATTATTCTTGTGAGCGTAGTCCTGAATAGGATTCAATGTCGGTAGCAATGAATGATACCATTTGACTGCAAAAAAATATGTGTGATATTGTGACATGCTAGTAAGTATACTGAATCTATGCAACCAACTTTTTACCTATTTGCCTGTGGAGGGCCACATTTAATGAGATGTTTCAATAAGCAGTTATGTTGCCCCTTAGCAACAAGACTGTAGTTTTAAAGGATACTTATTCTCCATCCCTGCATACAAGATGAGCCCACTTTGTAATACTTATTTGAAGATGATGAGGTTTCCTTAGTGGTCACTGGCTCTGATAAAGTTTGCCCCATCCTAAAAAGACAACAACTTACTGCGCTTTTCACAAACGTGCGAATTCTGAAGTTCAAAAGCCAACTGACGATTGTGTTTTTCACTGCCGTCAACCATCTTAACGAACCTCTTAGGAAACAAAACTTTACTTCAACAGGTTCAAAAGGCCATGGTTTGTGATTGATGGATTTCGATCCGTTTTATGTGTTTCTGTGTTTCAAGGTTCGTTGCTTGTGATTGCAACTATTACTGATTGACAGCAGCGAAAGACGCAATTGTGAAGGCGGCTTTTGAACTTTAGAGTTCGCATGTTTATGAAAGGCGAAGTAATGCAGTTTCTCAAACATACACAGGAAATATCGATACAGTTCTGAATGAATGCTACCCAGAGCCAGATGTAATTTATAGTGAGCAAGAGGTCCATAAACATGACAACACCTAGCCTGCAGTGCAGGCGTTTTCTTTGAGCGCGAAAGCACCACTTTGAAACTTACCGAAGAGAGGAGGAGATGGGGCAAGTCAAAGGGAGCGGGGAGGGGGCAGGGAGAGAGAAGAGAAAACGCCTGCCCAAAAACACTGTGAAAATGAGAAACACCCTGCAATTCATTCTTCTAAATTCATCTTTGTAAATCGCTATCTGTGAGAGTTTAACATCCTGCAAACAATTTGGGCAATTCCACATGAGACAATGAAATTTTGAATTTTTTAAAATAAAATTTTGCACAATGAAACTTAACCAACAGAAAGCTGAAACAAAGGGCTGTTTGAAATTACTGAGATCTTGTGCGTCTCGTCCATGTGCTTAATGTGAGAAGGCATGAAATCCAGAGAATTTGAATCTCATTATATTTGGAATTTTTGGAAGGAAATTTTAAACAAAGTTTTAACATCTAAGAAAACATACAGTTAACATAAAAGTATGTGTGTATTATAACCTTTGCCTTACACTATCATTAGGCTATAAATTATTATCCAGCTACTGGCACTTTCCTAAAAAAATTGACATTGAATTTTTGTTGCGGACATTACGTAATGTCCGCAACGTTAAGGTACCTTTTTTCAGTTCCTGTACACAGTGTGCTGTATTTTCATGTGCTATTGATGCTGCTCACTTAGTCTTATGTATACTCTATTTTAATCTCAAAACATTTCCTGGGTGGGTTTTCTTTGCTCAGAAATTACATGTTGAAAAGTGTTTTGGACATGACGTTGCGGACATTACACATGTTAGATTTTTCATTTCTTCAGGCTGTTGTGGATGTTTAGTTCTTACTATCTCTGAATTAGATTCAGACAACAGCCCACTTAACTCTAAATTGCTTTTTATTGATGTACAAATGTAAATGGCAAATTAAAAAGAGCTGGTAGCTTTTCCGTAATGTCCAATGAATTTAATTTACAAACTATTAAAAACATTCTAAATAATTTTTTTCTGTGATAATCTTGAAAATGGGCAAACATCGTGATTTTCGAATTAGTTCCTTCCATAAAGTAGTATAGATGCATGACGAACTTTGCAGTACTTTAACAGAAAAACAGAAAAATATTTTAAAGAGTTTATATGGTTTTGGGGGACGCTGTCACAAAATTACAGAGTGACTTTTGTATGGATCTTTAACTGTGTTTCAAGAGTCATAACTTGATCCCTGTTCAACTTTAGAGCACCAAACCTGCTCAACCAACCAATCTCAACATGACCTTTTATATGGTGGTGTCAATTTATCGATTAGTTTAAATTTGAAACTTGCCCCAGTTCCCTATGCAACTCCAAAATGGCCAATGAGTAGCTGGTCAGGGGTTTTGTACCGCTGAGCATGCTCAGAACAGTTTGTAAGCATGCTTTTTGAGGAAAAGCACTGACCATCATTGTTTCTGCCGCAAACTTGAATGGGTATTATTTTTTAACTAGAATTTGTAACATAATTTGTAGTGAACAATGTGCAATTTTAGTGCAAATTTACATCTTCTCTGTCTTTAAGTCAGACTGAATGACAAAATATGATAATTTCAGTGGCTATATCAGTTTTGTAAAAAACAAAATAATACCCTCACTACTGAGAACGTTTTTTTACTTGAGATGTAATAAAATTAATTTGGAAATTATTTTAAGGAGTCAGTATAGCAGAAAAAAATCTGACTGGTATTGCATGATACTAGGTCTCAGCAGGACGTTATATAATATTATAATAGAACATAAATAAAGTAAATGATAATTTTACAGCTTCATTCTTAGACAAGTAACTACAGAACAAATGGACATAGCCACAGTCAGCAACACTGACTAGGAAGTGAGTGATAAAAAATATGTTCCCAAAAATGTAATGTCCGCAACAATTTTGTGTAATGTCCGCAACACAAAACTTTTGTTTGCAGAATCATTGGAACGAGGTTTCATGGAATTTTTTTTGATAGGTGAAAAATTTAATTATTGCCATGTTTTAAAACCACAATTATTTTCTGCTCAAGGTCAATGATTCACAGAAAAATCTCTTTAAAAAAAGTTACTTTAAAAAGTGGTTGTTTGAAATGTAATGTCCGCAACACACTTTCTTCAACTCATACCTTCAAGGTCTTTAGAGCTGACTACAGCATCTTTTTATTAGGTGCAAAGGGCACACTAAAGGTATTTTCTACATATGTTTGAACACCCTTGTTGAACATTTTGACATTTAAATTGGGGTTTAAAATGTTAATTTTAGTCTCTGAATGTAATGTCCGCAACATGGAATCACCCTTTAAAAAACTAACAAGCTGGGCCCAGTGTGATGCAACATTGCAGGAAAACATCACATTCTCGGACTAGAAAGAAAATCGCTCAGTTATTGAGATCCTGAGGCACTTTGGACAAAAATAAAGAACCTAACAGCCTTATTTAGCTACAAAAAGAGCTTAAAACTTCAAAAGAGGTCAAAGAAAATGCTCTTGCATCAGAGGACAACTCTTGAAGACCAGAAATTCAAAAACCACAGAAAATCAATTTGCGTGTCAGGACCTCTCAGTGTGAAACAAGCGGCTAAAATCACATTTGCTCAGTCAAAACATAGAACCCTCAAGAGCATAATCTACTTGCCACAAAAAAAATATTGGAACAAGCAGCATTTTGGCATGAGGTAAAAGTGGTGTAGGTTTTAGTACTGTGAGCCTTGTCCTGATGACCAGTGTAGAAATAGCTTTGACTTTCTCATTGCGTAATACAGGCAACACTCCCAGCCGCTCCAATTGCAAAAGACTGACGGAAACAGAGTAAACAATATAGACTTACAGTTAATTGACAGGCATCAATCTACTTCCCTATGCCGCACCAATCAGGAGTTCCGTTTGCCAGCATACGGAGTTTCCCAAAAGAACAATGATATCGGGCAGGCGTATTTTTTTCTCCCCTCCTCCTCCCCCCTTTCCTTCTTTTGCCCTCGCACCTACCGTAAGAGTTACTATTTCTGTTCTGCCCAATCTTCCACTGTCATAAAATCAAAGATGGTGGCTACAAAAATATTATAAACACGAACAAGGTTTCGCCCACCCAAAATACGCCTGCACTGCAGGCTAGACAACACCCAGAACTAGCCATGCCCAATGGCAATGTACCAATGGGTCCTTTCAGGAAATCTTAGGACAATTTTTCACTTGCGAGAACAGTCTATTCTTAACTGGTACAACTAATGTATGCTACGCAGTGGTGGGTTTTAGGGAAAATTTCAAGAAAAGTCAAGTACCAACAAAACAAGCCTGTCAAGCACCTTACAGTTAACAGCATAATCTCCTCTTTTTTTCCAAAAATTTCAAGAAAGCTAACCAAATCTACAGCTGACAAAAGAGAGATAACTAGGAGTTGCATCAGTTCAATGGGAGCCTTGAAAGAAAGTGAAGTGTGACAAACTTCTAGATTCTCCTCTCAAATTGCCTTCAGTTTGCAAGTGAAAAAGGGAGAATTTAATGAGTGTGAGATTAGGAGTCTCATAAGGAGCTGCTTTAGACACCCATTCACTTCATGTCTTCTCCAATTCAAGAACAGTCATTATACCATATGTTTTCAATTATAAGGTGCAGCATTTTTTTCAAAAAAATCTTCCTTTAATAGTTCAATTTAACCTGTTATAATCATTTTGGGGTGCATCTGATGATCAAGTATTTTCAGGAAATGAAATAAAACTGCATCAGATTTTAACCTTCAAAAACTCATTAATTTTCAGTGGGCATATTGTCCAATAGACTTTGCAAATTATTCATGTGTAAGGACCTTTATACCCAGTAAAACATTACCATGGTAGCAAAATTTGTGGATCACAAAACTAGGGAGTTTTTGCGACGATGAACAGAAAAAACGCAATAGATTTAGATTGGCAAAAGACTTTTGTACATTTCTTAGCTCTTGTTGCACGACTGCAACATGAAACTTCCTGATTTCACACGCCTGCTTTATGGAATACCTAGGTGAAAACAACACAAAAATTTTCTTTCTCTTTCTCTAAACTTAGATATGGTCTTTTCAGATTTAACCCAGAAAATTAAATAAGATCGATGAAGTTTGAAACAGTGTGAATGGCAACGTGAAGTAACAACTTCTCATCTCTATACAACGTTAAATGACTGAAACAATGGACTACTGATAAGGATAAACATTTTAATAAAGAATACTAATAAAAAAAAACTATATTAAATTTGCAGTTTAATGAAAACTCAGTTTTGTTTACAGTAGATAGATCTTGTCCAAGTTAAACTTTGACAAGATTTATCTTCTGGTAACAAAAAAGTTTCTATTTATATTTATATTCAGAACTTATTCTTACACGAAATACAAAGTTTTCAAACCAAGATAGGACCAAATCAATGTCCATCAAGACACTGCTGTCACTTTTTCAAGTAGGAATGGGCAAAATGAGTCACAAACAACAGAATTTAATTCTTACCAGTTTGCAATAAATTCCATAAAAATTATCAATTCTCATTATGTCCCTTTGCTGTTAGATATATTGCCACGATACTCCAGCAATTTTTTCCCTCTTGTGTGGCTGGTTAACTGTGGAAATTCCTTTCATTTTGATAGCCGTATTGTGAAGGCAAGTAGGCGCTTTAAAAACTGTGTACTTCACTTACATGATGCCTTTGCATATCTATTTCTGACCAACTTTGTTATATTGGCTGCTTTTGTTTGATGCTATGCAATCAGTACATTTTAAAGGAAGAAAAATGCATTAAAGGAATCTTTTTGAAATTCTCTGTGGATGTTTTTGAAGCTGTTCCAAGCACTCACGGCATATGCTTTATTGAAATTCTCTGAAATTTTTTACCAGTGATACTGAACCCTTATGAAAGCGTGTTTTGGCCTACGTTAACTTGACAAAATCAAGTTAAAAAGTTTGGGGTGCATCTTAATGCATAACTGAGAGGACCTCATAACCTGGCCAAAATAAGCTAGATAATAGTAATGATAGGAAAAGGTGTGGAAATAGTGCAAAAATACTTGTGACATTTATAAACATATTCAAACAATACCATACAAAATAACAATTAAATTACACATACTGGTATAATTGCAATAAATTGTAGGACAGAGTCTAAATGTGTTGAAAAAAATGTGGCGACAGAGTGTCAGTGCTTAGTAAATAATAATAATAATAATATTACAACATCACATGTAATTTGGCTGTATCCTGATTGATGTACTAGACTTTTGTAGTAGTAACAGGTTACATTACTTTTATTATGGTAATCATGCTCTATAAAGAAAACTGTCTGAATACCATGCCTCAACGATTATTTTCTCTCTACAGAAATGATGTTTGCATATTTAATTTCTCATGTTGCCATATGTTACCTTCACCAATTTGCTTGTGTATAATATTGGACAGTTTTTTCTTTCTTTTGAGCAAAAGTCCCTTAAAAGTAGCAAAAGCCTTAGAAACAGTGAAATTTCTGTAGATTAGAATAAAAAAAATTACTATTCTATGATCTACTGTTTACTTGTGATACAAATGTACGAGACTCTTTACATTTTACATGTATTTCACACAGCCAAATTAACTTTGGCGAATGCCACCATACTAGACACAACCCTCTTCCACCTTGGATGAAGTACAATGAGTTACAGGTATGATTGATTGGACATGTATCCAATATAGTAGAACAGGGGCTGTGTTACACCTGGCTGGTTCATTTTGTATATAATGCCAATTTTAAGTGTCCTTATTCCCTATGAAACTTCAGAAATTACTGTCTTGTGAATGACAAGATCAAAGTTTCATTTCAAACAAGTCTTCCCAAGCATAATATCGAACGTTACAAACGACAAAAATGAGCTTTGAAAAACTGTTAGGCAAACCAGTTTTCAAAAACCACAATTGCAATCCTTTTAATCTTCTTCACGTTTGACCACCCGTTTTTTTCTTTTGTATTTGCTGTGTTTTTTATACCTCCCTTTCATGTTTTGAGCAGTTATGTTAATGTTACACCCAACTTGGTGGCAGTTCCCACCATTTGTATTTGGATAAATTTCGTGACACAGTTCCTTTAACCCTTTAGGTCCCAAGAGTGACCAACATTAACTTTCTCCTAACAACATCAGTAGATCAACAAGAGTAAAGGTTATGAGAATTTGTAAATTGATTACCATAGGGAGAATGTTTTCATCTTAAACCAAATTCTCTCAACTATTCTTAAAAGAAATGTATGGAGATCAGTCTGGAGAATTTGTATGTGCATCTTTGGGCTTAAAGGGTTAAGTATAAGAAGTTACGTGTAACTGGCTTCAACTTTCTTCCTGGGCTACACCTGTCTAACACCCACCAACATCTTTTAAAAACAAGATGGGTTTAATGCAATTATATAGTGAGAATTGCCCCTCCATTAACAGTTTCATGCTTCTTATTATCACATAACAAGAAAACAAGTTTACATGATATATAAACTTACTACATTTGACATAGCAAAAAACAACAGATAAAAATTGTCCTAATTATAAATAATACATTAATGTGTCGTACAATAAATAATTAAAACATGAAAAAAATCCAGACACTGAGAAATGCTAATTTATTTTGCCCCAAGCTATTAGCACCTTGGAGGAAACTTATAGCACAATACCCAAAACTGTATTTGCCTCTGTTCAAAGTAGCCTTCATTTTATTTAATTAAATTTAACACTATTGTTAAGCACACATGCAATCACATTTAACTTAAAAGTTTTTGTCTTTTTCCTGCCTACACTTAAAATTGTAAAATTTACAATTAACAGATTTATAAGATTGGCTCGAAAATTTTCGTGATCATCCGCAACACTATTAACAAAAAACAATTACAAAATAGAGTGATATTTGATACTACGTATTGCAAAGAAATATAAACATGGCAACATTTGTTGTTGAAGTGTCAGTTTATGACATCGGACTAAAACATGTTGAATGCCGAATGCAACGCACTTGAAGAAACAGGAAAACTTTTTTAACAACGTCGAAAATAACATGCGTGCCAGTATACAAGCTCATAACGACAGCAAAAGGTTGGTTATAACTGCCGTCTAACGGTTGGCATAAGCCGTAAAATACAGCTGATTGTCAACAAGTAATGCGGCATTTTGTGACAATCGGACAAATGAAAGTTTCTGTGGGAAACTGCACTATTAAGAAATGAAAGTCCTTTACTGTATTCCGTCCCTCTGAGAATACACTCAAACAAGGATAATTTACAATTTATACAACATAACACATATCAAGGTTTTAGAACTAATTTGAGAATAAGAAATAGGGCTGAAAGTATGTAGTTAGTGGGGAAAATTCCACTTGCACATACTACAGTTAGCTCGATTCCACGGGAACAAATATAGTTAACAGCCTCTAACACCTTTCTAGATGCGCTCACCTTGGATTTGATAAGAGAACGATTCGCACCACGCTGCTGGTAGGAACAAACTTAGGCTATCAATGTAGTATCGGAACTTAAAATTTGCAAAGATCGGCGCAAAAGTTTCATGTAAACACAGACATTTGAAAGTTCTTGCTCGGCGACATCTTGCTTCTTCTGGTCACGTGAATGGGAGATGCGATTTCCTTAGAGGGGGTGTGAAGAATTCCGCACCAAAATTTACAGAGCACAGGCATCCCAAACTTTAATGCAAGCAACCGGAAAAACAGATCGTTACAGATAAGATAAGAACCAACTTTTTTAAAGTATGGCAAAATAGGTTCTTGTTCTTTTGGAGTACTTATTGGTAATTTAGGCTAAGTAGGTTCTTAATTAGGGATCAATCGGCGTAAGCGACTCGAAGTAATGTATCCTTGCCTTAAAGTGTTTATCACAATAACCAACATATAAAAATTAAAACTAACCTGCTTGATCTTGCTTGGCTACACAAGTTCTAGTGGTCTATTATCAATGCTGCGTTCTGATTGGTTGAGCTACTACTAGGCTATATGTTATAGCCCACTAGTAGCGAAAAGCGCTGGCTTTGAAAACCAAAGCAATGGCGGCTGAATCGCGTTTTGCTTGCTAACATTATGTTGTGTCTCGATATTTTTGATCAACTAGTTGGATTTTACTAAAAAATCAATCAATAGCCCGTTCGGGCTCGAGGAATACAGTGTGTAATTGTTAATTATATGGAAAGCGTCGGATTTATTCAGACTTAACGCACGCCTACGGTCGTTGAAAGGTTACTGGCCGAATTGGTCGTATTTTGTACCTAGGGTGTACTCCCTATAATAGCTTATACGGATAGCTCCGCCCAAAAGGGCTACCTTTTTTTAGGGCTTCAGGTATATGAAAGGGCAGGGATTTCATAAGTTAAAATACGTGAAATAGTGGGCAAATCTGTCATTTAATTTCGGTCTGTAAAAAGGACCAAAGGGGGCTACCAGGCTCATTTTATGGATGTGAAAAAAACGTTTTGGTTTAGTGATTTTTTCGCATTAAAAAGATGGGGTATTTAAAGCAGTTAAAAGGTCTACAGTGTTCTCACTTTGGTGGGGAGAGGCCGGGGGGGCCTTTCTCGAAAGTCCCGGTAACTTTTCGGGCCCGAAATCAAGTATTCAAATCGAAATATAAAGAATAAGAGCGCGGGTCCTGGCTAGAAAACTACTCCCTTTTGTTTCGCTAACTGATAGTTTTATCATGCTAGATGCAAAACGTTTGAAACCTCGATCTTTAATATAAACGGAGACGGCTTACCGGGCCCGTTAATTATCGGGACTTTCGAGAAACGGGCCCCTGGGCCCCCCAATAATTTTGACGGGCACGTTTAATTTGGTCAGCGGCCACGCACTTCATGCTGCTCGTCGGTTCAATGTTTCGGTTCGATAATTAAAGCGTCAAAATTATGTATTGTATTTATGGCTTCAACAAAGAAAAATTGCTGGAAATAAATGCTCTCCGAAGGCTGAAAATGCTATTTCAGAGATCCTATAGTTCAAAATCTTCCGGGGAAGCATGCCCCCGAACCCCCTAGCAGCTCGCGCCTTCGGCGCTCGTGATTGCCCCCCACCCCACTCTCAATAAATCCAACCTTGCTACAGCACTGAGGGGTACCATTTGTCAGTAGAAAGCACGCGAAAGGCGTACACCCTTTCTGTCAAAAGTGGTATGTAAGGGTTATACCCCCAGGGGGTGGGGTACTCGGGATTTCAAGTGACGGGGATGATCGAATGGAGCCTCAAGTCAAGACCCAACAAAATCCCTAGGGCTTCCAGCAAAACCCCAAAAAATCCCTGGACCAAAAATTAACCCCCAAAAAACCCCATGCCGATTTTGTGGTCCTTAAAAGTTCCAGAAAGGGGTAATGCTATAACACAAAGAAAAACATTGGAAATTGAACACTCGTGTTTGTCTATTCATCATACCATCTGAATATATCCTTTCCTTCATCTGGCAGTCACTTTAACAAGCTAGAGCAGGTGCTAGAGACACCCAGGAACGGTTTTGTTCAGGAGCCCATATGATGGGCTCCTGTTTTGTTTTATTCGCAGAACTACGCAGCCAGGACACTACCGATTCTTTTTAATACCCCCAAAAAATCCCTACTCAAATCAAGCTACCCAAGCCAAATTTTAGTACCCCAAAAAATCCCGGAATCGAAAATTTCAAACCCAAAAAATCCTTCTATCATCCCCGTCACTTGAAATCCCGAGTACCCCCCCGGGGTTAGACCTCGGGGTGGAGCCTCTGCAAATAAAACTTTGGGGAGTACCTCCCGGATATTTGCAATGTTGAATCAAATTCCCTATTCTCAATCAGTGATCGAGCCAAGAGCTTAGCCCGCAAAACGGAAGCGAACGAGGGGCTAAAAGCGCCCAATATTTTTAATGATTAATCAATTCACCGTTTAGGCAAAAGAACTCGTTGTCTTTATTGCAGATCAACTGTGAAAATGACTTTGATTTATTCAGACTTAATTTACCCTTGTTAGGCTTTAATAAATTCTGCTAAATAGGCGCATTGTTTTTCTTCGAGCATAATAAGCAAAGCTAGCAATTATTAATTATGCACTTTAGCTATTAATCTTACAGTCATATTTGTCGGAAACTGAAACGGTGATTTGGGAAAAGTTTCTTCCCAGTCAGATACTGAAGTTAGTGTTCTGACCGGTTTTTCGTTTCTGCTCAAATTCTGCTCCGGGAAATCGTCCTTTTTTTATGTCGGCCAAACGCTCGCCTCGAGAATCTAAGCCTGTCTGCCGGAAGCAGCCAGAATTTATTCAAGCGCCTAAACGATCTTGTATGTACGCACAAACATCAAACACAATAAGACAATATAAATAGTAACTCCCATGTATTTAGTTCGAAAGTCGATCGCTTCATTCTTTCTAGTTTTAATTTCATGTGAGCCCTGAGGCTAAGGCACATACCCAAGAGAGGTATACGTACAAGACATTCTACTTTAGTAATAAATTAATCGAAAATAGGATGCCCACGTAAAGCTAGGCAGATAATTGACTGACTAAATAATTAGTACCCCTTTCCTTTTATTGTTGTTTTAACTAATGTCCACATCAGCGGACCGTTATATATATCTTTTTTGTTTGGAGGTCTGTTTATACAGCTGCTGAAAATTCTTTCAGCTGACTTTTTTCCATACCCAATATTTTGTCTCTGTGACATAAAAATATTTTATTTCACTTGCTAGGTAGATTAAGACAAAAATTACAGGATGTGGAATATTAAACTTATGCATTTTTTATAAGTCGTTAATCCTTGGAGACAGCACTTAAAATGTCCTTGTAACTTCAGTTTATTGGTAACAGTGCTTTTAAACCAGCTTCCACCTGACTCATATCCAGACTCTCGACGTATGTATTTGTCCTCCTTTCTTCAAGAGAGTTTTAAGTGAAGAAAAATACTGGAGAGTCATTCAGGCGTATATTGTGGGACTATTAAAAACAATATGCCCTTTGTTTTCAGCAAAACCCGGAAAATTGCTGCATCAGCGAAAATATGAGCATGGAATCGAGGCTACCCGGCAGAAACGGAAGCCCTCGTGTACCACGCATGTCATGCTTCACACTTGCTCTTGTCTCCGATGGATGCAGGTCTGCAGAACGAAACAGAGGAGCCGCAAGATGAGAATCAGCGCCGGCTGCGTTCCAGAACAACTCCCCCAGCTACAACCCTTTTTGCCATGTCTAATTCTTTAGACAGTGGCGTTGGAAGCTTCGAAGAATCGGACATCGGGGAGAAATATTGCAGCGATGAACAGTCGCAGCATGTATCAACTATCGCAGAACAATCTGAGAACCAACCGGACGGTGGAGCGAAGAGTTTCCGTTTTATCTACCTCGGCAGTGCGGTCTTGGACAAGCGCTACACACTGTCGATGCTTCCGTGGGTTATTGCCGAAGTTAAGAGGAGAAGGGAAAGGGCATCCATTGATTTAAACGTCGAGGCAATGATTGTAAAGGCCGTAGATTGTTCTTCAAGAACCACTTTGTTTCATCACAATGTGCAGACCATAACACGCTATACCCGCTCTACGGACAAAAAGTGCTTTTCGTACCTAACCCGAATCCCTGAAGACGTTTCTTCGTGTTACTGTTACGTTTTCGAGGCGGTCGAAATTGCTGCGGTAAGTACAAGTTTGCGGTTGTTTATGTTAACGTGAATTAATTTTCTTTGATCAAAACTTTCCATGCTCTTGCTGGTTTGCTTAGAAAATAATGCATTTGCGACAGACAATACAAGCTTACGGCTTTTGTAAATACAGTGCCTTTGTCCTCTCATGTAATTTTCCCTCGCTATTGCTCGCATTGAAAACCAACGTCGGCTGCACTTTGTCTTTTTGCTTTGAAATGAACAACTTTTTTAGCTCTTTACTTCAATTGGGTTTTAAATTCTCTAAACGCGATGCTTGTTATTGTGGAATCTTTGCAAGTTTAGATAAATCAGATTTGTTCAAGAAACATGATATGCCAATGATGGTTTCCTTCGTTGTTTGTTTCCAGTGAAAAACTTCGATTGTATCAGAAACGTGAACAAAGAAAGTCTCACGTAGCACAAAACTTTACTGTACGTGTTCATGTGAAATTACCGCATCGAATTGTAGTTTCTGTCAAAACCCTTAACCTTTGTTGCCGCAAAGGTCTCGTGGGGGATCCATCTTGTTTTTTAAGCGTAAGCTTAAATTTCTCAATCATGTTCATTTTCGACCCATTGTCCAAACCGTTTTACGTCCATAAATTTTTGGAAGCGAAAATCTTGGAGATCATGTAAATTTTTCCCGTAGAATTAACCTACTGTTTCAGCAAAATTTCTTTGGATTTCATGGACAACTATTTGCAGTTTAAATTGCCGGTGGGGATATATGATATGTCGTGATTTTTTTTATATTTTATTGTTTGTTGTTCCCCTCTGACTAAAAAAATTTTCACAAAATGTACGTGATCACGTATATTTCGATTCCAATTCCTTTCGCTAAAGTTCAAGGTAATATTGTTTCTTGGTTATTGTTATGCAAAACAGTTTGAGTCACACAATATGTTTTCTTTGAGCCAACATTGTCACAGAGGAACTGCTCTTTTCTGTTTTGTTTTTGGTTCAACTTCAGCAGTATTTTTTTTCTTTTAATTGAGGACAAAGTATAATCGTCTTCCTCTTGTTTTCATATTTTTCATGATGGTACTTTTTACGTGTGATTGTAAGTGGCTAGGAGGATAAGTTATGCTAATTTTCTTAACACGGTTTGTGACAAGTGAGAAAGATAAATAACTTGTGCTAATGAATCTTGCTTTTTTTTCTTATGGAGGGTGAAAAAATAAGCTCTCATTTTGTCACTATTTATAACCTGCAATTGAATTTTCTGGGAAAATCACTGCATTTTCATTTTCTGTCAATTTATGCATATGTGATGCCATTATTGTTTTTGTCAGTGAATTGTACCTGCAGCTACTGTAACTGGTTATTCTATGTTAAAATAATTGTTATGGCATTATATTGCTATGTCTTGATCAGAATTAAATACCCACTGACCCAAAGATGTTTTTAGACTTAATTTTGTTGTAAGAAATTGATTTTTTAACTGTAAAATTAATGTAAATATTATGATGACATCAGAAGTTTGTTTGCCTGCTTTAAAAAAGATACTGATTGGGTTATCAAATTACCACAGCTCATCCTTGTGCATCTGTAGTTGTGTATAGTGGTCATAGTTATGTAAATTTCCTGCAGAACATGTTAGGACATTTTTTATAAGCTAGGTCTTTATCCTTCTGCTGATTACCATTATTGCCTTTTTGCGCCATGGTCTTGCTTCCACGTCATCTCCTTGTTTCTGCTACTAGAGATGGAATTCACCTACCATTTGACAACAGTCAATTATTATGTATAATTTATTATTTCACGCTAAAAGATATTTGAACAAAATTGACATTATTTTATATCAACAGAACAATTTATTGCTTCCAATGTGAAAATTAAACAATACTGTTGTTTTCTTCTAAACGTGGACATGTTATGGAAAAACATGTGCTAAATGGTGCAACCTTGACGTGTTGTGCTTCTAAACATGTGAAGTTTGAAGAGCGGTAGAGTGATGTTAACATTCAGAGTAGGCTTAGGCAACCATTTCCAGCTTGAAGTATCTGATCTGTTTTGGAAGATTTAAGAACTGTATCCTAGGCCAGACACTAAACACCTCTACCCTATGCCAGATTACCCAATTCAACCTGAAACTGTAATATTTGTCATTCTTACATAAAATTCTTACAAATGATGTACCCTGAAAGAAAAAAAACATGAAATTCCAGCTTGTCCTTTAGTCACAAGATTACCTGACTAAGGTTACCGTTGCCCACTGGACAAATGCAAATGCTTGTCAGCCTTTATTACATTTCATGTGGATTATCGCAAGGGGTGTCTATTGGGGCTGCCAAATTACCAGCTTAACTATGTTTATATCTGTGTATCGGCAACAGATTTTATTACTAGAGACCTTTAGATTCTAAGACGAGTACGACTACGAGTACGAGATTTTCTCAACACTAAGTAGTGCACGCGCGTGCACCAGCGTCATTTTGGCGGGAAAACGCGGTAGCCGTCGTCATTCTACGACGAGTTTTAGCGCGAATGTCATGGTGGCGAAAACAAGTTATCAAATGTTAGAAGTTTTATCATTTTGCGATGGGGAAAGCGCGTAACCTCCTTCACTAAAGGTAACAGTGCTAACTTTTCTAGTGAAAAACGGTAAAATGAAGCTTTTCGGGAAGTCTATATTTTGAGAATACGCGAAAAAACTTCAAGTCAAATCTCGTACTCGTAGTCGTTCTCGTCCTCGAATCTAAAGGTCTCTACTTATTGTTCATGCATTTATATACCGTATTTATTCGATTAACCGCCCTGGGCGCTTATTAAATTTTTGGACCTTGAAAGTGGGCGCTTGTTCGAGTTGGGCGCTTATTCGAGGCTGGGCGCTTATTCAATTTCCACCATTTTCAGGAAGTGTAGTATGTTTATTTTGCAACAAAACAATAAATAGTAATAACGAAACAAGAAGATGTAGCAAAGCAAGGTTTCTGTAAACTACCCCTACTCTGAGGAAAATTCCGTCTTCGGAGAAGTCTCTTTATATTAGTACTTATTCAATTTCAATCTCATTGTCACCCAGGTGGGTGGGGTGGGGGTGGGCGCTTATTCGAGGCTGGGCGCTTAACTTTTTCTGCCTCTAGGATGGGTGCTTATTCGAGGTGGGCGCTAATTTGAGGTTGGGCACTTATTCGAATAAATACGGTACTTTTTTAATATAAATTGTCATACTTTTCTGTAATGCAATGTGGCTAAATGTAACTAAGGTAAAGTCAACCTCGAAACCATGTAATGTAATTCACTCTTTTTTTTCTTTTTCCTTCTTTTGTAATGTTGTTGTTAATTAAGTAATAAATTGTACTGTCTGTGAAGTTGTGAATAAGGTTCATCTAAAAAAAAACGTCGAACCAAGGCTGGTTAGCAGTTTTTCCAACTATGTTGGGGGTGGACCGATGCCTTTAGCAGGGGCACCTCATGACTTGTGTATACAGTTGCTTGCTTGCTTGCAGTTCTTCACAAAGTGTTTTTGCTACAGCCTTGTTTCTTGCTTGCCATTTTTGTGTTGAGTTTTTCCCAATCCTCCCTCCTCTTTATTTCTGGGTTTGAACCTGCAACCTCCTGCTCGGCAGACTGGTGCTTATCCAATTGAGCTAACCGGGCGGTGGTTAGGTAATAATACAGGGATGTCACTAAGATTTCAAGTTGCCAGGAGAATACTACAAGTAGGCAGGGAATCAAACAGCTAGGGATTTCTTTTGGTATTATTTTTGTTCTATTTTCCTATGAAAGTAGCTGGGGGCCACAATCATAGTAGCCGGGGAAAATCCCTGGTCCCTGGCTCCTAATAATAATAATAATAATAATATTATTATTATTATTATTATTAAATCTTGCCCATCACAGTGGCACATATGTGCCTGTAGAGTCCATATATATATATATAGATATATATGGGAGTAGGCACAACCGGCTGTAGTATTGTTGTGAGGTGGTGTGAGTAGTAGTACTTTGCGTATTTTTGTATTTGTGATATGGATTTGTGATCTTTCAGGTTAGTGGTTTTTTGCAAAGTATCCGCGATGCAGCTAAACAGGGAGCTGAGCAGTCCCGAAGTACCACAGAGTCATCCATGCCAAGAAATAACAGTAGTCCCAACCTTCCTTCCGAGGGAAGTGAGAGTCAAGCTGTTGTTTTTCCTTTGTGGTATGTTGGTAGGGTGATAGTGTCACACAGACAAGCACCGCCCACCCTTGTTGATGAGTTAGTAGAAAGATTTAAAAAGAGAACAGGAATGAGTGATCTAGAAAAACAGCTGAGGACGAAGCAAGATGAAAGAAAAATTTCAGATGTAACATACAATAAAGCATATGTGAGGGAACATTATTTAGCCAAAAAGGCCAACAGTCTTGATAGTGCGGAACTGCTTGCAGGGAATAACTGTGGTGATGAAAAGCCAGAGGAAGTAAGTCCATTGAGACCCCAGCTCGTAAAAGTAAATAGCAACCCTGGAGGACGGCCAAGGTCCGCAAGTGATGGAGACAAAACTAAAGAGGTCTATTCTTCTTCCCAGACAAACAGTTCTACGCATAATCAACATCATGTAAAAACTCATTCAAGGAATTCAAGCTTTAGTAATGTCGGACAAAACAGGAACGTTCTGTTCAAAATAAGCATTCAGTCATTGTCGTGTTTAAGTGTGTCCACAAAAGCCCAGCTGATGGAGAGACGGCTCCGAGAAGTGTCTTTTTGTCAACAGGTTTGTGGGCTTTCCTTACAACAGTTCTAACCCTTTATTAGCCCTAATATCCACATACAAATTCTCTAGACTGATCTCCATGCATACATTACCTTGAGGAATAATAGTGGAGAGAATTTGTTAAAAGATCAAAGCATTTTCACTTCGCTGCTCATTTTAGTAATTCTCCTAACCTTTTTTTCGTGATATGATGTTTTGATATTTACAAGAGAAAATTGATATTGGCCACTCTTTGTCAAAATACAAAGAATGATAAACTTGGCTGTACTTTCTACAAGGGCGTGCTCTAATGGTGCCCAGTGACACCTGACAAGTTATTTTTGTTATTGAGTGATGTTAGGGTTATCCTGTCAGCCAAGGTTTTTTTTTTATGGTATGGCCTTTAACATGTACTAAGTCATTCACCTGGCTTATGGTCAGTCGTATATAGTTGGTTTGTTTACATCGCAAGAGGGGCATAAGTAAACCAAAGTCTATGCTACTGACAAGCCACATAAACGACTTTGTTAATGTTAAAAGCCATGCCTTGCCGTACTAATCAGTGTGAAGCGTTAGCAAGCAGTCAGGCGCGAAGCTAGCCACCATGTTGCTCGTACCAGGTCACTTCAAAACAAAATTGTTTGTGCCAGACTCCCGTCTTTGGTGCTTTGTTTGCCAGTAAACAGTCAATGCTTCTCAACTTCGTTTTTGATCTAAATTACTTTCTGTGGAGATTAAAAACTTCGACAAGACAGGGGGTAAGTTTCTTCTGGAAATCAAAATCAAAAATTGTTTGTGCCAGTCTCCCGCCTTTGGTGCTTTTGTTTGCCAGTAAACAGTCAATGCTTCTCACCTTTGTTTTTGATCTAAATTACTTTCTGTGGAGATTAAAAACTTTGACAAGACAAGGGGTAAGTTTCTTCTGGAAATCAAATGCGAAACGTTTCCATTTAAAATGAAATTAATTCCTTGAGCACTAGTTCAAAACATTGACAAGGCACTCAGGGATATAGAAAATTGCTCTTTTTAGAACACGTAGATGGACAGAATTCCAAAAATAATTATTTGGATAACAAAGTTCCTACAAGTATTTGATGATGATATCCTTCTTGCATTTTCTTTTTCACCATAGGGAACAAAGTATCCAGATCATTTTGGCTTCATATGCAATGATGTAAGGAGTGGCCAGTACCACTGTTACGTTTTCAAAGGACAGTCAGAACAACTGGTGAGTTGATTGGGGAGTTGAAGCAGACTAGGGATGGGAAACTAAGAGCACTTGCCTTTCACAAAATGTTTTGACTAATGGGATACCATAAAATTTATGGTATCCCATTAGTCAAAACATGATTGCGCCATCTATTTAATTTTAGGAGCTCAAGCGGGGGCATTTAATAGATAGAGAGAGGCGTTCATTCTAATAACTATAACAAAATCCACAAAAACCAATATGCTTTTGGGGAAAATACCAATACAATTAAAAAGCAAAATATCCTGTCCATCCATTGATATGCCGAGGCTGTTTAGAGATCCATGTTTTTTTTTATCTCAACTTCAGTGTCAGAATCCCAACTTTGGGCAAACTTTTCAATGTTGATCAAGAAAGAACCTGAATTAATTGAATGTTCACTATTTTGTAGTATTTTGGAGCAGTTGTTCTGTGGAACGTCTATTAGACAGAGGCGTTTGTTTGAGAGGGGGGTCTAATACAAAAGTAAAAGCGTAGGGTATGCTTTTATTACCCAAGAAGTGTTTATTTAAGAAAGGGTGTCTGTTAGATCATTTATAGTATATGCACATCCCTCTTATAAGCTGAGCTTGAAGTCAGTACTGTTCCATCAATTTATGGCTGGTGCACTTCACTCTTGGGCCATAAATAATATATAGGTATATATAGGTATAGTAAAGATGAGCAAATCAGCGCTAATGAGATGTTTATTGAATGGTCTCCCTCTTTTATTTAGTGGAGATTATTCTTTTTTTTCACTATGAAACGTTTGATTTGGTATATTTCTTCCTTTTGCCTTATGCTAACAGTAACAAAAATGTCAAATTTGTATGAAATTAAAGGTTGATGATGTGATGCAGTCACTTCGGCAAGCATTTAACAGTGCATGGCAAGCCACAAGCCCAACATCAGTTTGTGATATGTGTCCCCTTCATCACCTGCACCAACTGTGTGTGCAGCTTGAAGGTAATGATGTATAAATATTGCAATAGCTCCCACTCCCCTTCATCTCCTCAGCATACCCCTGTAAGGTTAGCTATCAACTGCACGTACCAACTGAAGGTTATGTATCAACACCCACCCTCCCCCCTCTCCCTTCTCCCAACCTCCATCTCATGATAGTTAGTAGAGGAGACTGGTTAGGAAAGCCAACAGTGCTGTAGTTATGTTGAGAGCTCCCTGGTCGTGCGCAATCCTTTTTTTTTGTTCACATATTGTGACTGAATAAATCAATGCGATGCTTCCATTGGTCAGTAAGTTCAAAATAATACATTGTAGGAATGCTATTGAACATTGTGCACGGTCAGGTCCAAAAAAAAAGCTAACAAAAACATACAACAAAGATTATTCTCTCAGCTTCATAACCATTCCACTCTATTAACTATGATCTCGTGGATACATGTTAGTATATCCCCCGGGCATATGTTGTTGGTGAAAATGACATTCAGGTTAAGATGATTTCAACCTAAAGTTTATTTTCAATTTGTTCTGCTTCCTAACCCTAATTATTCATGACCATGAATAATAATTAGAGGTTAAGAGACAAAGGAAAATGAAAGTTGTCTTAAGGTTGAAACCATTTTAACCAGAGTGAATTTCATTTTGATTCAAAACATATACCCCTTTTTGTTGTATGGTTACATGTAGCTCCATCCAAGAGGTCAGTAGGGCAAACATCCTGGGATACTGGTGATGGTCTTCTTAGAAATCTGAAACTCTTTTCACTTTTGTCTCTCAGGTTTGCCCAGGGACTTGCATGCCAAAATTGTTCAATTTTCACACTTCTTTTCTGTTTCATGGCAAATCATGGCATAAGACCCATTTGCTTTCAACAGTAATTCAATCATATGTTCGACTACTTATAACCAGTTAGCCAGTGTCAATTAGCAAGTTCAGTTTCCTGTTATCTTTGGTTTAACTGTTATTATTGTTTGTGTAGGTCGCACAGTCAGACAGCAATATGATATCTTACAAAGACACAGAATTAACCTCTCTGATGAGGAGATGAGTGAATTCACAGAAATGTTCAAGGTAAACATTTTTGTTTATCCTAGAACAAAAATAACATAGGTTTTTAAATGAGTCCAAGATGCTCTAAGATTTTATTTTATCTGATCATGATTGTTATGGAGTAAAAAGCAATTCTGTGGGCCTTATCATTCAGGAGTTGTTGAAAAGAGTAGAGAAAGTCTAAAGTTATGTTGATTCTTTTGTCAACAAGTACAAACCGTACTTTGAAAGAAAATAAGTCCAGTGTAGGAAAACAGGATGTGGCCATTGGTGGCCATGTAATAACCCGTTAAGTCCGAAAAGTTATCGGCATTGCAGTTTTCTCCTAGGTAACAGTTGTGTATCAATACATTATCAAGAGAATTAAAGGTTATGAGAATTAATGAAATGATTGATCATTACTGGAGAATACTTTGATCTTTTATCAAAGTCTCTCAACTAATTCTTTTAACAAATGCATAAAGATCAGTCTGGAGAATTTGTATATTGGGACTTGAAGGGTTACAGGATTAAACAGTAAATACATTAAGGCACAGATTAGCCTAACTGATACACTGTGCCACACCCTTATAGAAAGTGAAAAAGTGATTGAAATAATTATTGCTCAGGTATTTCCACGGGAAGGACCGAGCTATAAAATGGGAGGGTTTTTTTTTTCTCTTCTGGCACAAATCATCCTCTGGCGCCTTCAATGCTTGCACAAGATATAAGTATGTGTGTAAAATGGGACAGTGTGCTGAACCAGAGCTCAGAGCACTTGGCTGCCTGAGACACTGTGAGCAAATAAAGGCATCTGTATTCAGTGTATAAAACTCAGGGACCACAAGAATGAATTCTGTCATTTGTTATACATGAAAAGCTTATACCAAATGAACACGCTGTTCATCTTTAGACCTACAGTAAAAGATGGCAAGCAAACAGTTCTGTTCCATCAGAGACTTACTAACTAACTCTTGTGAGTGAACTTTATCAAGAAGCCCTCTCGAAGTAGTGAGCTACCATTGAAATTTGGACAGAGTGTTTCTTATCAACTCGAGAGTCTTGTCAAAGATACTAGGAATGCTTCCATATTTAAGCTTAGTTGCCTTGCAGAAGGAGAAACAGAAAATGAATTGAGTACTTCAATTATCTTTTGTGCAACTATTTCCTTGCTCTTGATGTTACTGGTTTTATCTTCCTTTGTTTTTGTGACCTCTACCAAACAATTACTGCAATCTAATACGTTATAGTTACGCAAGCATCATTTCCAGATATATATACATACAGACTGTGGTTGATATTTTGGTATATGTCGGTGGCCTTTAAAGATTGTGATTTCTTCAACGAAGTTTTCTCATTTGAATTTTTTTATATGGACACCTGAGCTCACGCAGTTTATATGTGTCTAGTTTGTCATAGTTTACTCTTTATCAATTGCCTATTATGGATGCCAATTTTCAAAAGTAGTTTCTTCAACTAAAGTCAACCTCACCAATGTTATGCTTTCATCATGATGACCATTTGACAATCATCTTTTTTCTTCCTTTTTGTACAGGTTGAAAGTCCTTCATCAGGAATGAGCGAAGAAATTGAAGTAATCATGGCGATACTGAGAGGAATTTACGAAAAAAGACAACAGCAGCATACACACTTAGGACAGGTAAAACAACTGAATTTGAATCTTGAAGATTAAACATTCTATTGTATTCTATTCTATTGCATTCCATTCCATTCCATCCTATTCCATCCCGTCCCATCCCATTCTATTCTATTGAGATTGTAGATATTGTTTAATTCCTATTCTGATCAGGGGTGTAGTTTATCATGTACCCCCACCCCAAAGAGGGGTACATAAGTGAGATCCTACACTAGAAATACTCCATTTTATTATATAGATACTGATGATATCTTCATCTCACGCAGTGAAGATACTATTTTTATCTTTCACGTGTGAGGATATTGGTGTCGCCATATATGGTTACTAACATGATTTGATTTTGATTTTTTATTTTGGAACAGAAAATATAAGTATTGTCTTTATTTCTCCTTTATAACTTTATATCCGAGTTTCATAACATTTTTGTGACAGGCATTTTGTGATGGGTCACCACTTTAATTAATTGCACTATTTTGCTGTTTCAAAAATGAGTAAAAAAAAATTGTGTTTTATGTAGGAATTTCATCAGTATCTATAAAATAAACAGAACATTACATGGCCGCTTGGGGATACGAATATTATCTTCTTGTGCTGAAAGATACGTTCAGTACTCAAAGATAAATTTTGTATCCCTGCGCAGCCATGTAATATCCTCTATTTGATTTTCCAGGGGCAACAGTTACAGAAGTACAAAGAGGGACCAAACCTACTCCAAAAGGCCAAGAAGTCTTTGACCAGCTCATTCGAAAGCTTCATGAGTAAAAGGGTGAGAAATAAAGCAAACTTTTTCCATAATTACATGTACGTGTAACCAGGTAACTGTAGGTAACAGTATGTTGCCTAATTGGCAATTCTTGTCAATCCCTTTTACCTGTGACATCAGAATGCATAATTTGTTATTCTGCACACAGGTTTCCAATCTTTATAAGTTTTAAGTTGTGAGGAGGAGAATTTTTTTGACAGTCAAGAAATTTTTTGCTTGGTTATCTTTTGGTTTTTACTTGTCATCTTTATGTCAGATTTAGCAGTGATGTTATTAGGTCAAATTAAATGCTATTATTAGGGCCTACTAACTCTAAAAACTGCTGGAAAAAAGTGAGTGACACAAACCTAACTCAGGGGTTGACAATTTGACTTCTGAGGGGGGTATAGGTGATATGGTTTGGGTAAGAAATTTTTCTCCCAGGCCTCTGGAATTTTTTTCCCTGACATATAATGGTGTAAGATTTTTTTCCAGCATAATTTATATGCCATGAGAGGTAATTTTTTTCCGTGCAGGATATTTTTTTTTCCTCAGGTATCTCCTCACAAGATATTTTTCCCTTGAAATTAGTCTGCAGGATATTTTTTACTGAAATCACCCATACCCCCCACACCCTCCCTCAAAAGTCAAGTGGACTGCCCCTAATGTTGGCTTCTCTAGTTCCTTTAAAATTTAACCACTGGCCACAAGGGGGGAAATAAGTACCATTCTTCTTCTTTTCAACTGCTGGTCTTTGTTCCTTTTCCTCTGGGAAAGGGAACAGTTGTGTTACCAGACAAAGTTTGCTTTGTGTTCAGTGAACTCATTTGCTACTCATTTTGCTCATTTGCCACCGCTTAAGGTCATGTTGAAACCTCACAAACAGTCAAGATACTTATTGCAAACATGATAGTTTGTATGAAATAAGCCCATCAGTATGTTACTGCAGCTGTTGCATTCATGCTAAATTGCAACTAACAGTAACTGGCTTGTACCTGCGTTAACAATGTTTCAGGCTAGAGCCAGGTCAGTCTTTTCTGAAGAAGGATCTGGAATGGTGAGTTATTATTGTAACGCCCATAGTAGTGAGCTCTTCAGGCGCGGATCTAGGATAAATTCGGACCAATTTCCTAAGCAAGGCGGAGTCTCGGAGCATGCTTTCCCAGGAAATACTATTGGATTTAACTCCCTAAAGTCCCCATACCTGGGTTTCTGAGTCATAAAGTTTGAACAGCGTATTGGCCAGTTCCATTCTCCTCGGATGAAGCCTTACAAATCGGCGGAATATTATTATTATTTCTAATGCCTGGAAATTAGAGGGAGAAAAATTATCCAAACCATTTTCCAGAAAAAAATATTTTTTTTATGAAATATCTGACCGATTTCCGTAAAACCGTGGAAACCGGTAAGGATCTGCGCCTGCTCTTTGTGCTAATGAAAATGCTTTTCTTGAAACAGTGCTAATTTACAACAACAACAACGGCTTTAATGTTAGAGTGATTTTTGTATGATCTTGAAATGAAAACACCTGAACAAAACAATTTTAAGACATCTTACAAGGAAAATAAAAGAGATTTGGAACATCAAAGAAAAGAGGTAACTAGAATGATTCAAATAGATAAATAAATATGTAAATAAAATAATAAAAGTTACAATGCATCGGATCAACTTCACTTTTGAACACTCTCACGTATGGATTTAGGCAACCAATGTAAAGGAGGGACCATTGTTAGATTGCAGGGCAAAAAACTAACCATACAAAAAAATCCCCTGGGGGATAAAGAGGAGGTAGTCTGGTTAGGAACTAAGGCCCCAGAGCTTCAAGCTGTCTAATTTATGAAGTTTGTTTTTATCACAAGGACAACATGATAGCCATTGTGCATTAATTTATTATCCTTTGTGCTTAGCCTTGGCTCTGCTTCAGTATAATATGACATAGAAATTAATTTCAGGCGAAATAATTTTGTCAATCACCTAGATGAGAGAAAATGCATTTTCATTAGTGGAATTTCTTGCAACTGGCACTTTTTCATAGGCCTGCTGCCTGTGATGAAACAAAAAACATCCAAGTTTCCACAAAGTACCTCCCAAACTTCCAAGATTTGTTGGTAACTTACAGTGGCAAGAAGTTCCAACTAGTGCTTTCACAGGAAAAAAAAAAAAGTAGTTGGTCGCTTTAGAGAGAGAGGTGGCTGCACAAGGAAGTTGAGCAGCTTGTAGAAGGTTGAAAAAATTTTTTTTCTCTCCAGGAAAAAAGTGAGCCCACTAGCCAGACGTCTCCTCCCCTTCAACGACGCCAAAGAAGTGTCACCCTTGATACAGCACCACAGTCTAACTCCACCCCACCCAAGTCTCCTTTGAAAGATGCCTCCAGCAAGGGAGATCAAGTATTCACAAGTACACCACACAGACAATCAAAAGTGCCTCCCCTGCAAGGTGTAGAAACAAGTCCTCGTACAGGATACCCAGGGTCCCCACCTGCCACACCCACTAGAAGTCCTAGTAATCAACATCAGAGACTAACCAGACATCACTCTTACGGATATAGACAGGTGGGTTTACCAATAATGATAATAATCAGGGTGCAAAGAAGGTCATTTTTACAGCTTGCCATTCCGGCAAGCTGAAGCTAGCATTTACTAGCCCAAACGTCATTTCAACTAGCCCCCAAGATTTTTTGATGAGCGTAATTGGTTTCACAGTTCTTCTGTAATTTGAATTCCTCAAAATACTTCACTTACCCGTCTGGCAAGTTACAAACACAATTCACTAGCCTGATAGCAAAATCCACTAGCCCCAGGCTATCGGATAGTACTTTCTTTGCACGCTGATAATAATAATTTGTTTCGTGTATAGTGCTATTTACAAGTATAAATGAATAGCACTTTACACCAGCAACCTCGTTCCCAGGGTTCTCTCCTACCCGCCCTCTCTCTCGCTCTGTAGGGTGGGTAGGAGAGAACCCTGGGAACGAGGTTGCGGGCTGCGTTGCTGTCAGAAAACCCTCTTGAAGATGGACACCTTTCGGACCGATTTCGTTTGACAGAATTTTACAGAGTGAAATTTAGAAATGTTGTCGAATTGTGACTTCGGCCACCTTTGGCAGTGATAGGATTATTCAAATTCTACCTTAGACTGGGGCTGAAGATAATCAGTGAACTTGAGATCCAGGTCTTAGTTTCCCTGATGACTAATTTGCACTTTTTGCAGTGAAGACAGGATGTGAGCTACCTGGGCTGCTGAACAATTTGCTTGCATGTAGGTGGAGTTTGCTACAGGTTTCTCTCTCCTCAGTCATGTAATTATCTGAAGACATTAAAACAAAACCCAAAAATTGGAGAGTGGGGTGGGGGGGGGGGGCGGAGGGGACAACTTTCACATATTAATCAGATTAATTTTGTAGAAATATGTTCCTTTTCAAACAAAACAAATTGGCTTTTAACTTACAGTACATGATTCCTGAGTGATGTACAAATGTCATTGTCAAGTGTGTTAGCGCCATTTGGGTTTATTTATTCTCTCATATTTTGCAGACTATTTTTCACAGTGTTGTAACGCCATCCAAAAAGGAAACTGTTATTGCAGGTTTGTTGTTAGCTTTCTCAAACTCACTTATAATTTATAGTAAAATAAAAAGAAAATATATTTAAAAGTCCTCAACTATGTGTCCTTTTCTTTTTCCTTCTCCAAAGTAGCTATTATAAAAACTAAGAGTGCAGCCATTGGTTTTCTTTCTCTTCTTCTCTTTTCTTTCTTCTCGCTCTTTCTTTTTCTCCTTTCCTTTTCCTTCGTTACAGTGATTTTGGAGCTTCTCGGGCTTGAGAGACGTGCCTTTTGACACCTTTTCACTCAAATGACTGCAAATTTCGTTAGGTTGGTTTTCAAAATATCGGTTAGATATCAAAGTCTATATCACTGGAAAAAAATCCCCCAACATGAATGCGTTATATTTATTTGTCGTGTTCATGTTTTGTTTTTCTTTGAAACAGATCCAGAATTGGGTGTTATCCCCCAAAGTGCATCCTGGGCTCAGATGGTAGGACGCAAGAGATCAGCTAAGGAACTGAGGGCTTTATGGCGAAAAGCTATCATGGAGCAAATTCTTCTGATCAGAATGGAGCGAGAGAATAACAGTCTGCAAGGTATATTCCCACTCTTTTGATTTTCCCTTTGCGTAGGTGTACTTGTCCTCTCAAAGCAAGAGCCTGGTGGTCATTAGCCTGCGAAAGCAGCCAAAAAGGTTTTTAAATTGGCCAAGTGTCAGAATTCATATGGCAGGTGGAGGAAGAAAGGTAAAAGTTGACCACGTCCTTTAGGTTTTCCCACACCCCTTTTCCTTCCCTTCCCTTTTGATAACATGATTTCCTGCTATGCTAAGTTTCACCCTTGGATGGACCAGTGTCCCATTCGGAGATAGGGGATGGGGAGCGTTAGGGAAAGTGTCAGATCTAGACCTAGACCTAGAAATGATGGGGAAGACGTAGGAAGCCCCCAGCTAAAACTTTGCTAGGCCCTTCGCACCTTTCTTAGTCATCCAAACCTCTTGTAGGAGCTGTTGTAATAACTGGCAACTGGATGTTGGTCGGGCGTAAAATAACCTTTTCGTGCCTGGAGATACGCTTTTCAGTAGTTTTTCTGAAAGGAGTTTCAGTCTCACGTTATTCCTTAATTAGGCCCTGCCGAATTCTGGGGCTCATAAACTACCGTGCTGTTGTTGGTACAAGTTATATAATTTTGTTTAGTAATGATACTTAGTTACTTTTGAGTGAAGTAGTTTTCTTTTCGCGTTTTAGTGAATCAAAATGAAATTGAATCGAACTTGCTGAAGCTCTCTTACGATGAAGTTCAACCTTGCGCTGAAGCGGCCGCTGCAACGTGGACCAAGATTCTAGAAAAATGTGACGAGCCAGTCGACAAAAAAATCCTGTTGGAAGCTGTCAAAGCTGGTAAGACTTCAAATTATTTGAACTTGTAATGGAGCAGAAAATTTAGGGAAATTGACGAAGTTCGAAGGTTCAATCAAATCAAACGTCTTGAACATGGTGGACTGTAAGTTATTTTGGATAAATTGGTAGCAATAAAGGAACAATTCACCAAGACCATAATGCACTTTCTTTACCCCCAAATTTTGCATAACCAATGTTTCCAATTTCTCCTGGGTATAACAGTCTTCCAAAGGGAAATAGTAAATAAGATCCATTAAGGTCTCGGTGAAAATGGTGAATAGGGATTCCGTAGAACTTTACATCAAACGGTGTATGAAGTAGACTCTATCTTAAAGGAGCTATGACATGAGGATATTCCTTTTTTAGGTCAATTCTAACTGATTACGAAGATTAATCCGTGGGATTTGAGCCAATCAGAAACCGAGAAATATTGGAATGAATAACAACAATGATTATCGATTGTTTTATACTTTTTCCTTTCAAAGGGGTACCTAAGTCTAAGAGAGGCGAAATCTGGAGGTTTTTAGCCAAACAGCACAAGTTTCAATCACCACCAGGCGATCGACCATGGAATGAAAAGTCGTATGAAGAAATTAAAGAGGGTCTGTCAACTCATCAGCACTCCATCTTTATTGATCTAGGTAAGTGTTCAATATTTTTGTTGCGTTATACCCAAAATAAGAGCAAGTCTGTGATGTTGTTGTTGCAATTCAATTCAATTCAATTCTTTATTCACACTATGCAAGATATTTACAAAAGTGTACATAGTAGGAAAATAAAGTAGCTACAAATAATAATTAACTAAAAGATATTAATGTATCGGTCAAATCGAAGCTTCAACATGCCCCCTTCCCCCGGGCAACCCCCCGGGCATTTGACTTTTTTTAAAATTATTGTTCAAATTCCCCCCTACCCGGGCCAAAATGCCGTTCAAACACCCCACACTAGGGTCCATTCAGGTGATCAAATGACCCCACCCCGGGGACATTTCACGGGCACAAAAATGACAGAAGGACGGCGGAAACGCCTTCAGTTGTCGAACAAAATCTTTGTAAATATAACAAAAACTGAGCAACGCTGCTAGCGTATTTACTAAGAACAAAAGTCTCGTGCAAAGCGGCGGAAATCGCTGCTACAAGGTCACTGAATGCTCAGCTTTTCTTCGTCATGCAAGATACAAAGCGTTCTATAAAAAAAAGATCCCACCTATTGAGATTACTACATCATGACCATTTCACTGACATGCACCATCGCTCACCTTATTCATTAACATACTTGTAGTAGGTCAAAGTAGTTGACCGTTTTATTTTATTTTATTTTATGTTGTTGTACTGAATCGCCGGTATAGGTATTGTACTTCATTGTAAACACAACAATAAAATACATTCATACATTCAAAGCCTGAATCCAATATTAAAAATTTTAAAATTTAAATACTTCAAATACCGCACAAAACTTGTTTAAGCCCTTTCCTCGTAACCAATTGACCACAAAGGCACAATCTTTTCCACGAAAATCCTCTAACTCCGCGTCCCCCATGATAGCTCGCCACGCCAAAGATTTTACATGAAATCGATGGTGGAGTTCAAATTCCCCACCCCTAAAGCATGGGGATCAAATTCCCCACCCCCTGGAAGACTCTGATAATCAAATTCCCTCCTCCCCG